ATTGATTATCGGTAGTTGAATCGAGTGACCATCAAGAACAAATACCCTCTCCCGAGAGTCGATGACTTGTTTGATCGACTGCAAGGTGCTCGAGTGTTCGGTAAGATTGATTTGAGATCCGGTATCATCGGCTGAAAATAGCAAGTAAGGATGTACCGAAGACCGCATTCCGGACTCGCTATGGGCATTATGAATTTCTTGTAATGCCTTTTGGCTTGACGAATGCACCAAGCAGCATTTATGACCTTGATGAATAAGGTGTTCCAACCCTATCTAGACAAGTTTGTTATAGTGTTTATTGATGATATTTTGGTGTATTCCCGTAATGAGGAGGAGCATGCCGAGCAACCGAGAATTGTATTGCGGATATCGAGAGAAAAACAGCTTGTATGCCAAATTCAATAAATGTGAATTTTGGCTTAATCAAGTTGTATTTCTTGGTCATATAGTATCGAGTGAAGGTATAAAGGTGGATCCGAAGAAGATTGAAGCAATGCTTGAATTGGGAACTCCCAAGAATGTGGCGAAGTACGCAGTTTCTTGGGTTTAGCCGGTTATTATCGACGATTTATAGAGAATTTCTCTAGTATTCGCTGCACCATTGACTAAATTACTTCGAAGCAGTGTTGAATATAAGTGGATCGAAGCATGCCAACAGAGTTTTGATGAATTAAAAGCCAAGTTAACATCAGCTCTAGTGTTAGCAAGTCCAAGTGGTACCGGTGGTTTTGTCATTTACAGCGATGCTTCCTACCAAGGTTTGGGTTGTGTCCTAATGCAACATGGCCAAGTTATTGCTTATGCCTCCAGTACGCTAAGGCCGTATGAAGTTTCTTATCCGATACATGATCTAGAATTGGCAGTAGTGGTTTTTGCTTTGAAAATATGGCGACATTACTTGTATGGAGATACTTTTCGATTTTTACGGATCATAAGAGTTTGTAGTATCCGCCGAGTCAAAAACAACCGAATATGAGACAAAGACGCTAGCTAGAGTTATTGAAAGATTATGATTGTACTATTGAGTACCATCCGGAAAAGCAAATGTAGTCGCCGATGCCTTAAGTCGAAAAGCAAGTGGAAGAATTGCTAACTTGATCGCTTTAAGAGAAATGAATGTGGAGTTACAAATGCCACCGAGTGGAATCTTACTTGCTACTTTTAAAGTAAGACTCGTGCTACATGAGAGAATCCGAGAAGCACAAAAACGAGATGATTACATAGTTGAGCTTAGAAAGAAGATGGATCAAGGAAGGGGCAAGGAATTTGTGATTCATGTTGATGGAGCTTTAATGTACGAGAATCCGATATATGTTCCGGATGTCGATGATTTAAGAAGAGAGATCTTAGATGAAGCCCATAATGCTCCTTATGTCATTTATCCAGGAAGTACTAAGATTTATCAAACAATGAAGGTTCATTTTTGGTGGCCGAACATGAAAAAGCATGTAGTTGAATTTGTTTCAAGATGTATGACATGTCAGCAAATAAAGATAGAGCATCGAGCTCCGGTAGGAAAATTACATCCTTTGCCGATTTCGAAGTGGAAATGGGAAAGGATCACTATGGATTTTGTTACGGGATTGCCTCGAACTCAAAAGAAAAATGATGCTATTTGGGTTATTGTTGATAGATTGAAAAAGTCAGCTCACTTTTTGTCGATCGGATGGGGGTGTACTCGGATCAATTGGCCAAGAAGTATGTAGATGAAATTGTGAGACTCCATGGTGTGCCCTTATCTATCGTGTCGACAGAGATCCAAGATTTACTTCTAGATTTTGGGGTAGTTTACAAGCAAGCCATGGGGACTAAACTACATTTTAGTATCGCTTTTCATCCTCAAACCGATGGACGATCAGAGAGAACCATCCGGACGCTTGAAGATATGCTTAGAGCTTGTGTGCTCGAGTTCAAGGGATCTTGGGATGATTATGTGAATTTGATTGAATTTGCTTATAATAATCATTTCCACAAGCAGTATAGGCATGGCACCGTATGAAGCTTTATATGGTAGAAAGTGTCGATGTCCCGTATATTGGGATGAAGAAGGAACAAGAATACTTGAGGGTCCGTAATTGATACAAGAAACTCGTTGATAAAGTAAATGTGATTCGGAGCAAGTTAAAGATTGCACAAGATCGACAAAAGAGTTATATGGACCAACATAGAAGAGATATGGAATACAATGTAGGGGATAAGGTTTTTCTTAGAGTTTCACCTTGGAAAGGGGTGTTACGGTTTGGTAAGAAAGGTAAATTGAGTCCTCGTTATATTGGACCATATGAAATAATGGAACGGATTGGTCCATTTGCATATAGATTGGCTTTGCCCCAAGAGTTAGCGCGACCTACATGACGTCTTCCATGTAAGTATGTTAAGAAGATACCGATCCGATCCTTCACATGTGGTTCAAGCCGATGAAATAGAGGTATTCGACAACTTGAGTTATATGGAGGAACCAAGTACAAATTCTTGACCGAAAGTTAAGACAGCTTAAGGAAAAGAGAAATGCCTATGGTGAAGGTTTTATGGAGAAACCATGCTAAGGAAGAGGCAACTTGGGAGACCGAAGAATATATGCGCAACCATTATCCTCACTTGTTTCCCGATACAGGTAAAGGAATTTCGAGGATGAAATTCTTTTAAGGAGGGGAGAATTGTAATAACCCCGTCCCAAAAACATACACTCGTTCATGCATATACGCATACTTAGAAATTACACGCATATAATTATACCTGCATATGACATGTTAGTGGGGTATTGGATAATAAGTATTTGAAATAATAGGAAGAAATAGGGGCTCAATTGTAAGTATTTGGAATAATAGGAAGAATTAGGGACTCAATTAAATGTAATCTAAGTTGGGGGACTAGAATAAAAACAAACTAAAACTTGAGGGACCAAAATGAACTTTGCCAAAATATCTTCACAACCTTATCAAGATTACTTACTTGATCATTATCTCTTCTTATCCCATCTGGTTTCTCGTTTTGAGAGAGAGAAAGAGAGAAAAACCCCATTTCTTTGTCAAATTCGGATGATCAAGCTGAAAATCTAGGTAAGTTCATCCCCAGCTCTGTTTTGCACTCTTGATTTCGAGACTTTAGGGTCAGATATGGAACAAGTTGTAAGAATAAAAATTTTTTTTTGTGTCTTATCTAGCTCTCTGTGAAAGGGTTTGTATTTAGTAATTTATATTTCGGTTTATGATGGTTTGAACACATGTTGTTCTGGGTGATCCGATGTCTGGCAGATTAGTGTGCAAACTTTAAAAATATGGTATTCTTTGGGTGTTGATTATTTCAATCTGATTTTTGGATATGTTTTATATTGATATGTCTAGTTCTTTTTAAAAAAGAATTAGTTCTTGATCATGTCCCAATCTAGATTTATTGTTATTTGTTTGGAGACCTGCTCGGTAACAAGGGTGCTGGAAACTAGTTAGAGTTTGAAAATCTAGAATAAATCATGTATCTAGCATGTTGGGCTGATTTTTGGATATGTTAGACCCCTTTGAGTCTAGTTTCATGTCAAACTAGAATTTGGTCATTTTACCCTGCATTTTAGGATTTATAGTACAAAGAGTGTGAACTATCAAGAGGTCAAGTACCCATAAACAAATGGCAGCAACTCTGATTTTTAGAAAATCATCATGAGTTGTGTATTTCGTAACTAGACTTGATTTTTGGATATGTTAGAGCCCTATGAGTCTAGTTTCATGTGAAACTAGAATTGCATCATTTGAATCTGTATTTTGAGACTTATGGTAGAAAGAGTGAAAAGGGGTCAAGTACCCATAAAGGAATAAGTTAACTCTAAAGTCATATTTTGTACCTTAAGCGTATTTAGAAGTTTGATCATGATAAAATGACTTATAAAAGTATATGTGTATGTGTTTATAGACATCAAGGAGCGTGAGGTGCAAGACGCGATGCATTAATAAACGGCGAAGACGTCATTTTTGTGAGTTGAATAATAATCGTTGTGCCATGATGTGTTATTGCTATTGAGTGCTAATATTATATTTATTGATATTGAGACTATGATATGAATGATATGTCGTTTGCTAGTTGATGCAAACGTTGTGTTTATTGATGTTATAACAATATTATGTGTATTGATATTGATATCATGATGTGAATGATGTGCCGTTTGCTAGTTGACGCAAACGTTATGTTTATCGATGTTATAATGGATATGTACCATGATGTAAGCCATGGATGTTGTATATGCTATATGTGAAACATTCATGATATATGCAAGGCTAAGAGGTTAAGGTTATGACCGGCTTGTCCAAGTTTCGCAAATACAAGTTTACAAGTTTACAAGGACCCAATGGGTCAACTACAAGTTATAAAAGTCGGCCAAGAATACATGTGTACAAGTTTACAAGTTACAAATACCCGAAGCGGAACTTGACATGTCCAAGTCATAACCGACAAGAAAAAGGAAAGCATGAAATCTTAGAGTCATATGAACTCCATGTATTGTTTATATGTGATGATACTCGGATGATGTAATTGCATGTTATGGTTTCAATGAATTATTGTTCTCTCATTGAGTAGCATCTCATTAAAAATGCAATTACTTTTTAGGTACAAGAAGTTAAGAAGCTTAGAGCTTGTTTTGCTCGCTCATTTCATGACATGAGTAACGAGTTCGGTCGACGATCTCCCTCTCCTCTCTCTCATTATGCCGAGCATATGCATCCTAGGAGAGTTTTGAATTGTATATGTAACTATGTAAATATGAACTCCCGGAGGTGTTTTGAGACGTGTTTATGAGCAAAGAAAAAGTGGTTTTGATTGAATATCCAAGGGTTATAAGTGGAAAGAATATTGTTGATTAGTTGAATAATAATAAATAAATAAATAAATAAATAAATAAAATCTAATCTTTCTAATATGAGGTTTTAACGATCCTATGTGATATTTTGTGATTAATTGAGTTTTCTAGAACTAAAATGGTTAAGTTATATGAATTTTTTGTAAGGAATTAG